ACTTCTCCATTTATGCAGCTAGGAACATGAAATTTTGTATTACTTCTACCCGTTATCAACAGAAAACTTAGAATAAAAATTACAAAGATCGGATCACTATAACCTATAGCTCTCATACAACTGATTTTTCAGATATAAGATTTTTCGTTATAACTCCTCCATTTATGTAGCTAGACACATGAAATTTTGCACTGTTGTCACTTATTATCAAAAGAATACTTTCAGTGAAAATGGCGAAGATCGGGTCGCTACAACCTATATCCACCATACAACTAATTGTTCAGATATGAGATTTTTTGCCATAACTTCTTCATTTATACAGCTAGAAACATATAAATTCGCACAGTTTTCACTCAATACTAACAGAATACTTACAGTGAAAATAACAATGATCGGGTCACTATAACATATATCTCCCATACAACTGATTGTTCAGTTATGAGAATTTTCGTTATAACTCCTCCATTTATGCACCTAGGAACATGAAATTTTGCAATACTTCCACCCATTCACACCAGAATATACAGTGAAAATAACAAAGATCGGGTCACTTTTACATATAGCTTCCATACAACTGATTGTTCAGATATGCGATTTTTTGTTATAACTACTCCATCTATGTAGCTCGAAACATAAAATTTCGCCCTATTTTCACTCATTATCAACAGAAAGTTTACAATAAAATTAACAAAGATCGGGTCACTATAACCTGTTTATTGCTCCCATACAACTGATTGTTCAGGTATGGGGTTTTACTGTAAAACTCCTTTATTTGGACAGCTAAAACTGATAAATTTCGTAAGCTATTTTTTAAATAATAATACAAAGTCTACTGAGAAAATCGTAAAAATCTATGTTGTATAATCATAATCTCTTGTACCACTGATTGTTCAGATACCAGTTTTTGCGATATATGTATCTCCTTTATGAAGGAAGCTAAACCCATTAAATTGTGTTACCGGTTTACGTACCGATCACACAGTAGTGAAAATCACTTAAGAGCCTGTCAGACGTGGCAATATTTCCGTCTTTCGCACGCAATTCGCTGTCAAATTGAGAAAGAGAAATTTTATTTCGATGTGTGAACAGCCAGAAAGATCTTTCTGTCACCTTTCGGAAATCAGTTTCAGAAATAAAAGTTGCAAGGTGGGACTGCAACTGCAAGAGCGAAAATCGATTTCGGAAATATATTTCAACTTGCTCGTGCTGCACTAGCAATTTTTATTTCTTCTGCAAGTGCTGTCAAACTAATCGAGTGTTGCCGTGTGGCCCTGATCGTGAATTTGTGTAAAATGATAAAAAATATCGTTGGAATCAATATCAAAAATGCTTGAAATATATTATTTTGCTTAATATACTTAATTGTTAAATTATTGTTTACACGACAAATATGTTAATTATAACCTATATTTTCTCGCTTTTACAAGAGAAATAGCAAACAAACGACAACCCCACCGCCCATGGTTGCATTTTAGTATCGAGAAAGATTGCCAGAAACTCATTCGCTGTGTGAACAGCCAAAAAGCGATTTCAGAAATTTCCTCCTGCAATTCGCCGTTCGGAAATAAAAACCTCTTTCGAAAGACACTTCCCATGCAAGGTGTGACTGCTCATGCAACTGATTTCTCAATTTGACAGCCTTTCCGAAATTTATTGCATCGAAATATATTGCCACGTCTGACACGCTCTTTAGATTGGTGCTATATAAGGTATATCTTCCATACTTCTGATTGTTTAGATATGATTTTTTATATATGTATCTCCTCTATCTATGCCTGCTGTGAATACATAAATTTATTCAAATGCAGTAATCTGTTAAAGTAAAATTTTCAGATGCTCATGAAAGGTATGAAGTCTTCGGTATAGCCGAAGACAGCGCTGCTCTTACTTGTTACGTCATACGTTCGTACCAAGAATATCTATTTGGATCGCGATCCAAAATGAGAAATAGTAGCACTGACAAATTTAGTTCAATGAAAATATCGAACTAGTGAACTAGTTCATTGAGATGAACTAGTTCTTTAGTTCATTTAGTTCAAGAACTAGCCAAGTCTAGTATATATGTAGATAATTTTGTATAAGCCCAAGTGTGCATACTACAGTATTAAAAAATGATAATTGAGGCCATGAGGGCAGAAGTGGCCTAACTCACATTTTTTTTGGTAGTTAACTTCTTACAATATTTTCTAGTGCTATAATTGGTATTCTTTAATTTAATGGTACGTTATGTAGCTTTGTATCTTAATATTAAGAAACGAGCGACTTTTATTATTAAATTCATCACATTTGAGACTATTTTAAGAAGGTAAGTACAAAAAAAAATTGGGTGAAGCCACTTCTGCTCTCACGGCCTCAATTCCACTTTTTAGCTTTCGATAAATTAATAAGCTGACCAACCGTCCTCCTTTGAGGAGGATTGTCCTCCTCAAACGTGATTTGTCCTCCTCAAAAATATTGTCCTTCTCTGTCCTCCTTTTGAGAAAAAATGTCCTCCTTGTCCTCCTTTCCAAGTCTTATAGCAGTGATGAACTTTTCTAAAAATTTCGTTCTTCAACATTTAGTTAAATGATGTAAGCTTTTGATTCAACTAACCGCCTGTGAAAGTTGAACAGTACAAACGCCTTTTGAGCCTTAGGGCCAAATTCACAGTGCGTAGTTAACTCAGAATCGACAGTTAACTAAAGATTTTTGTACTGAAAACTGTCGATTCTGAGTGAAATACGTACTGTGAATTTGGCCCTTAATCAATAATATTTAATACGGCTTTCCCAATGCATGCCTATTACGTAGTTTGTTCTCTCATTCGTAATTCACACTCCTATTGCCCTTGGAATTACGTAATTCTCCACACTAAATTTTGAGAGCGAATTACTTCATTTGGTGGTAATTCAGATCCAATTACCAAGCGAATTACGAACAAATCGATGCCGTCTCAAATTTTTATGGGACATTTATCGAAACCAGTTCACAAATCAAAACTGGCACTTTTTATAAGTACAAAAACCAATTACTTACATTTTGCATAAATTTTGTAGTGAAGAAAACAAAACAAAACACAGAAATATAGAACTGTAAAATCGAATTAAGAATGTCCGCTTGGGAAAGGAGTAATTCGCAATCGTTATTGGAGGATCGAACAAATCAATTCCCGGTGTCGAAGGTAAGCCGTATTACCCTTTATAACACTGAAAGACTAGATAACGACGGGTCTTCACAGGGAAAATTAGTGCCTACCATTTGCCATTTTATTTGCCAGATATGTATAAGTTTTATCAGTGGCAATATTTTTGGCCCGCTTTTCATCTGATGGCAAGCTCGTCGGCGAGTCGATACGAAGTAAACTACTTCTTACTTATACATATATAAACATTTATTAATTATAGTTTACGAATTTATTAAAGAAACAAACGTCCGCTCAAAATGTTAAAGCGCCTTCAAAATGAAATGCTTAAAAATTAGTAATGAAACCTCTTCGATGTCTGTCAAATCATCAATGTTTTGACTTAACATCGGACTCGTAAAAACATCGACACACATCAATGTTTGAAGCCACGACCATCGATGATCTCGATACATCGATGTTTTTTTACATCCCTACAATATACACAATTACCGGCAGTTTAATATTTCATCATATTTTTTGTATCGCGTGTCATTGCGGAATTAATTGTTGGCTGTGAAAGTATAATCTAATTTTAAACGTTTTAAAAAGGGATTTGCTGGATAAAAATACAATACAAAATTAAATATTAAAGCTGTGGATATACTATGCTTTTAAGCATACAATGTTTTTAACATCGCCTACGCTGCGCCTTGCGCTGCAATGTGGGACTTGATAAATAGCCAATTTCATCAGTTACCTATCAACGGCAAACCTAAGCCAGGAGCACTACTTAATGTAATTAAAAGTAAGTACATGAATGACTTTTCACTTAAACTTGCTTTTCAGACGCCTTATAATTTTCCTTTAATTTATAGTCGTCAAGGAAACAAACATCGATGAAGCTGCGAAAAATATTAAAATTTTTAAGAAAATAAAACCAGTATTTTTTTTATTTTATTTTATATCTTATTATATTTAGTTCTGCTGAGGCTCATAGTTTAACACTTTGCATCAATATACACTATTGAATGAATCGTAAGCAATAAAAAAATATGTAGTATAAAACCTATTCGTATGCATATAAATAAAATACTTAAGTTTTATTATACGTAAAATAACCCTTTTTATTAATTCTAAACTACAGTGTAGTCAGAAAATTCTTCTCTTTCGTAGAACGTAGATTTCTTTTATTATTAACACTATAAAAAAACATGACTAAAATTATAGCACAACACTTTCATTATATTTTAATAAATAATGTTAAGCGTTTTTGCAAAACGTTTTGTTAAACAAAAGCGCCTAAAATTAACAATAAAAACAAAATAAAAGTGTTGTGTTAAAATTCGTTATATGTTTTTTACAGTATGGAGAATGAAAGCAAAATCGCACTTTCTTGCAACATGCAACGCAGTGTACTATTAACTTGTTTGACTTATGATTAGAGAAACTTTGAATTGTAATTTATTCGTTATTTATGTGTTAAAATAAATATAAAAAATGTTTTGTGTTTTCAATGTGGAGAATTTGTCCTCCTGGAATGTTAAAAAATTCTGGTCACCTTATAAATACATATTTATTTGAACGCGTTTTTGTGGAAAATAACAAAAGGTGAAAAATAAAGGCAAAAGCTGTTTCAATACATGTGCATATAAACAGGTGTATATGAATGTAAATAGCTTAACACGAGAATTACTGAATACCTAAACTGAAGTGGGAACAGACAGTGGTATGATATTATTAAGTCAAATATGCTGATAAGTTTAACTAGCGGAAATTGTAAAATAATCTGAGTATTAATGTTTAATAAATAGTTGCTGCGAGCAAATACCATTTTGAAAAAATAAAAAATAAAGGGAGATAAAGCGCATCCATAAACAAATAAAAAATACTTTTTCAGGAACTGTGTCGAACTGCAGAATATTTCATAATATATTAATCAAAAAACAGCAACAACAACATTTTTGTGTCAAAAAATACAAGATATTGAGTGCAAATTATAACAAACACCAACTTGTTTTCGTAAGTTCGTAATGAAAAATAGAGGCAGGCTGAAAAGTGCATCGCCAGCAATTCAAAACAGCAGCCCCATCTCCCCCAGAACTAATACCAACTCTGAGTTTAACATCAGAAACACCTGCAACAGTCCCATTCCCATCATTAGTAGCGCGGCAAATGGTACCACTAATAGCAGTATCACCAGCGGAAACGGAAGTGGAAATGTCAACGATGGCGTAAGCAGCATTTCCAGCAGCCCTGTGGACATTGAGAAAGGCACTGGCAATCTGACATTGACAAGAGCAATGCAACTTCACAAATCCAACGTGCAAAACTCGTCGCCCAACAGTTTCAACACCACAAATGGCCATCAGCCCTATCCGTCGATAACGTCCACATATTGGCTGCCGCCGCCAAATACGGCGCCATATTTAGTTCCAGGTAATTAACGCAATTCGCTAACAAGCTAAAAACTAAATTTAACATTGAAAATAAACACGCACAAATAAGTACCTGTACTTAGGTTGGGTTAGGTTAGAGTGGCTGCCACCGCGCAGAGCACGGAGGCATGCGTCGGCTGGAAAAGCATCTTGTGGCGGAAATCATTTGCTTCTTTCCCTCCCTTAGTAATTGAACCACCGAATGCGTCTAAGCAATCTAAAAAGTACTTGTTGAACAAGTGCGTTTCAGCTATGATGGGACATTAGCAAAGACAATTTTTCACAGGCCAACAAAAATGGGAACAAATTTTGTTTCCTAAAATGTAAAGCTGTGTTCGATAGTCCTTTTTGTGCTGATTACGAATCTGTAAGTATAAAGTTTTCATCAGCTTTAGATTTTGAGAAAAACGTGGTCAAAATATCCAAAAATCGCGTTTTTTGCAATATTCGAGAAGCTCTAGCAAAAAGATGATAGAACCTTCCACTTAGGCTTAAATTAAAGCTAGAACTCTCGACTACTATCATATTGCATAGCAGAGTCTTAAGTCTCTGCAACTGAAGCAAAAATCGTTGGTGGGTTACCCTGACCAGTTTATGGGGGTTTTGGGGGTTAAAACCCACACTCCCCCCGAAATTTTTGGATCGACTTTAAATATTTTTATTTATATTAGATTTACTTATTTTATATTTATTAACACGTTCCCTATCCAATGAATCACATGTGTTACATGGGACAAGTTTTGTCCCACCAGTCCATGAATGATATGAGCAAAATCAATGCTGACTTCAGATATATTTTTCTAGGTTTTTGGCAAAAATATAGTATTTTTGTGTGGAAACATGCAGTAAACAGCTGTTGATTGTATATAATTCATGGAACGTACCTTATCAAAAACTATTTCCCACGCTTATGTATGTATCATAAATGAGATATAAAATACTTATTTTTTTTTGCATAAGGACATAATGTATGCTTTTAGCATAATTCCTGAAAAAAGATGTATTGTATGGGGACAGGCAACCTGTTGAATCATCATCACTCTGCATACAAAAAAAAAATCGGAATTATAAAATCTGTTATAACTTAACACCCAAATTCATAAAAAATAAAGAAGACTTTATGTGCTTTGTAAATCGAAAATTTGTATGAAAATGTCACTCTATAAAGCTCTTTAAACCTATTTTATTTTTTAGAATAAAGCCATTAGGCTTCTGCAAAATATGTCGGAAAAATATTAAAATTTACTCTGAAAAACATCCAAAAATCCGGTTTTTAATAAATAAAATTAGCCCAAAAAAAAGTTTCTCAAAAAATCACCTTAGGTGATGGAGGAGCTTTTACTTAAAAGGTCTGCGTAAAAATGTTTAAAAATTGTATCAACGGAATCAAAATAATGAGATTTTTTGGGAAATGAAACGACTGTTGACTGTGGAAGGGGGGAGGAAACACCTACGTTGAGGAATGTTGTTGCGAATTTAAAATCAAATTGCCATACACATGTGCACTAATGTCTGTGTCCGTTTTATAGTTGATCCTCTTGTCATTAGGGGATATTATCCACAAAATTTTGGAACAGAACGTATGGCCCACGTACATAATTAGGGTACTTATTCAAAACTTTTACAAAAGGACCACTAAAGAGAAGACCACTGATGAGAACAAAATATATAAATCCACTACATACATATGTTCCGGGTATATCTGAGAGGATCATTCCAACATATATGACAGAGAAAAGGTCAAAATAGCGTTCACACACGCAATACACTAAAGAGAATTTATAGCAACACCAAAGACATTATTCCTAGATACCAGAAATCGGACGTAATATATAAAATTTCATGTAATGGCGATTGGTCCTAATATGCGACAAAGTATATGTGGTGTAAACAAAACCTAAACTCAAGACAAGGATTTTCGCACACAAATCAAATGTTAGATTGAGCAACAACACAACGGACAATAAGACGGCCTTTTCAGCTCACTGTAGAACATGGGTCACTATCAGTGTTGCCACTGTTGGTCTTTTCCGACCAAATCTGGTCGCTTCTTTTTCATTTGGTCGGTTGGTCGGCAAAGTAAGAATTTGGTCGGAAAGTTGAATCAAGCTTTTAAATTTTTAGTTACAAAATATATATTTCAAACATAATTTTGCATATAAATATTTGCCAATTGTACATTTAAACATTTGGCAATCCTGCCCTTAAAATGTTCACTAAAAATGTACATGGTAACCATGTGCCTTGATGAAGAAAAGAGAAAAGGAAAATGTCAAAAAACCAACGTAAAGCCAAACGCGCGAATTTCTTGCTTCTACACAACTGCTACAATTAATTTCAAACGTCAAAAAGCCAACGTAAGCTGAACGCGCGCATTTCTTGCTTTTGCAATTAATTACAAAAGGGATAAGTAAGTGCACTTAACAATGAGCTAACAATTTTTGGTATTACCAATTTTTACTCTTTAGATTTATCAGCAAGAAGCCAAAGCCGTTTTACAGTGCAGACGAAAGTCGAGCTTCTTGTAGCACAAATTCGCAGCTCCCCGAAGATATTTTTGGTGAAAAAGGAGATGATGCTTTGTGCAGGTAACTAAGATATTTTGTTTGAATAATGTGCCACGCCCTGAAAAAAGGAGGATATATAGGGGAGTAGAGACGGGTCACTACATTTCAAAACTGAAAACCCCGCCCGCCGGAGGCTTATGGTTTTAATAATAGTTGCGTTCCAGATGCTTCACGATTTGCAGGAAAAGCTTTTTTCGCCATTAATAAACCTTATTGAAGGTGGCCACCTGGAACAGCTTCCTGTAAAAACCTGCAAATCGTGAAGCATATGGAACCCAACTCTTATATCGAAATAAAGTGATAATTCTACGTTTGATATACATTCATATGTACATATGTATGTATGTACATCGTATATGAAACTGGTGACAAAAAGTTAAGAAAAACTTAAATTCTATTATTTGCTAAATAGTGTGATAATAATTTTTAAAATAACACTCACTCCACATCCTCATCGATTTTCGTCCAAAAAAATCCTGATACTCTGCATAAAAAGCAATTGATGCATTATATCAAAGCCAACCCGATATGTTTTTTGAATTCTTCTGATTATATATATATTTTTTTTAAGTGATGCAAGCGGCAAACAACAAAAACGAAAGTTCCGAGCAGAATGGTTAAAAAATTTTGACTGGTTGCGAGAAAAAAATGGAGGCGCCTTTTGTTTTGTTTGCTTCAATCAGCTAGTAAGCCACTGCGGCCATCTCAGGTCGCAAGAGAAACCGTCATCCACATTCAAAGCTACGAATCGCAGAAAAAGCAGTTTACAATAGAAAAATTTTACAACGCTGAGCAGCAAAACCAACAGCAGAAAGTTAGAGAAGCCGAGGATGCACTTGTCATGTTTTGCATTACGCACCACCTCCCATTGCTGCTAATGGATTACCTGCCTGCTCTGTTGGTGGAATGCTGCCCCGACTCTTCCATAGCGAAATCGCTGAAATGTGCCAGAACAAAATCAATGCAGGTAGTTGATTGTATAGCTAAGCAGGGAAGTCAAAAAGTAATATCTACTTTAAGAAATAAGAAATTCTCCTTAATTGTTGATGAGACTACGGATGTGTCTACCACAAAAAGCCTAGTATTAGTTGCTCGATACGTCGATAGCGCTCATGTGGCACAAGATCGCTTCATTGCATTGCTAGAGCTCACCAAAGCAGACGCAAATTCTATTTTTAATTTAATAAAAGATTTTTTTACTAAGAATGAAATTCCCATAAGAAACCTAATTGGTTTGGCCACTGATGGAGCCAATGTTATGGCTGGAGACTTGGGCGGGCTGAAAACATTATTGAGTGCAGAAACCGATTTATTTTATATAAAATGCACATGCCACTCACTTCACCTTTGCTCAAGCTACGCTTGTAAAAAATTGCCGAAAAGCATTGAGACACTGTGCCGCAACATATATAGTTTCTTTTCCCACAGTCCAAAGGGATACATGAACTGAAGGAATTTCAGGACTACTGTTCGGTAAAAACCCACAAAATCTTGGGCACATCTCAAACACGCTTTCACTAGAAAGCGTTGTTTTAAGAATAGTTGAGCAATGGGATAGTTTGAAACTTTATTTTATTTCCTGCTTTTACGAAGTAAACGGTATGCGATCTGCAGACCTGACAGAAGGAATGTGTTGCACAACCAAATGCTATTCTTTATTTCTATCGTATATTTTGCTCATAATTACCAATCTTAACAAAGAGTTCCAAGCTGAAAGCTCTCGTTTGCCATACTTATATGCAACTGTCGAAGCACATTATCTCTTAATTTAGAGTAACTTTATTAAAAAAGATGCGGTTAGTAACAATATCAATATTGGTTTTAAAAATGAAAATATTCATCTTAAAATATCTGACATTTTTGTTGGAACGAAAGCTGAGATGTTTATGAAAAGTAATGTCAATTGTTCTGAAATTCTTGAAGTTAAAACCATGATAAAAATATAGTAAGGTAGAACCGCTGAGAGTCACTTTTAAAATTCTTGACGTTTCCAAACATTTTAATTTTTAAATGTACTCACAAACTCACACACACATTTTCATTTCCAATCTCAAGCAACAACAATTTCGAACAATTTAAATTTTTTATATTCCCTTTTATATGATTTTAAAATGTTGGCAAACTTCAAAAAAAAATCATGGCCGACAAATTGAGAGAACGGTTGTACCTTGCTATGTTTTTATCATGGTTAAAACCAATATATTAAAGTTTTACATAGAGTTTTTGGACCAGATAAATTTAAGATTTGATTTCAAGCGGGAAGATATAAAACTTTTACAAATAATAACACCAGCTAAGGTAGTTTCTAAAGAAGATTTACCAATTTTACCTCTTTTGTTAAAGTTTCCCCATCTTATAGATTGTGATCCTGATATAATAACCACGCAGTGGAATTTACTGAGGCTAAGTGAGCTTGATATTTCCAGCGATCTGG